AAGCACATTGTCCTCGGGGTTGGTTCCATCGTAAGTACTGACTCCCTGACCAATACCATAAGCACCATCGCCACCACCGCAATGACCCATACCGCTGATTGGGAAGAAGCGGTAGAACTCATCCAACTTGGTGGGAGGGAGTTTCATGGTGTTTGACACGTGGGCATAGTACATCTTGGAGTCCTCGGAGCTAATCAGCTGGTCTTGGAGGCCGTGGTAGTGCAGAATTTTGCCGCCGGCCTTTTTGAATGGAGAGATATCGCCATCCCAAGTTTGAATGTTGTAGGGGTTCTGTGCGAGAGCAACAGCGGCATCTTTCACTGTGAAGTTGGCACCGCTCCAGGACGGATTGTTGTAGACGACATAACGGTACCAGTCTTCGCTGTATGGGAATGGTTTGCCATTGTACATGATAGGTGCGGCGAGTATCTCGGAGCCAGGCTGCATACGGGGGTATAACAGGGTGCCATTAATTCCATACAATGGCGATAGCACTTGCTGGGCAGTGCTGACTTGTGTGCTGGTAAGGCAGCTTGTTTTGTTTGAGGCACTTGGGTCACAGGTCAATGTTTCCAAGACAGGGCGGCAGAGATCGGGATTCTCGATGATTCCATCTTTGGCGCCATCAATTGTATCACATTGACGGATGATCTCATCATGGACGATCTTCCATTCAGCTGTTGACAGGAATGTATCGGAAGTTGGGGAGCCAGTGATGGTATAGAAACTTCCGCTCCACGAAAACAAATTAATCAAGTTGATAGCAGGAGCACCAGCAACGACCCCGTCAAAGTCATTGGGGTATTTTTGAACAGACTTCCAACCTTGGCGGCCACCAGTCGAGCATCCGAGGTAGTAGCTCTTGTTGAAGCCCTCATCGTAGAATTTCTTTGTGAGCTCTTTGCCTATTACAACTCCAGTATGAACAGAGCGGTATGCATAATCTTTGATCACCTCAGGGCGGCGATAGAAAGGCTTTCCCGAGGTACCATTATGTCCATTGTTGGCTCCAACGGTAGCAAACCCCAGTTGTGCGGTGTATGCGAGATCATAGTATTGAATACCTGCGGCGAGATTAGAAGAACTCAGGAGTATATCTTTGGAAACGAGACTTACACCCCGAGATACCCCCATTTCCGGTGCTTAAGAAACGGCCCTTGTATTTACGAGGGAACCAAGCCTCTAGTGTGATCTCGCTGCTGTTTGAGGTCGAGACGGCCATGGCGACTCGGCACAGGTCCACCGAGACGGCCTGATTCAATTTACCGCAGCTAGGTGGATTGTCTACCAAGGACAAGTTGGTGCCTCCCTGCACAAACTCGGCGAAGTTGACTTTGACATTGGGAATGTCAATTTCATCGCCAAACTTGAGACATTTTGATTCGAAGGAATCTTGGCTGGCCAGGGTAAGCGAGCCTAAGGCTACCAACAAGGGCAAGAAATTAAGACGAGTCATATTGAGGAGAGACCGTCGACAATATCAAATCAGCTCCAGTATGAATTGTATAAATTCGCGCACGCTCAGATGGCTGCAGACCAGCGGCCTTTAATAGTTGATTATGAGGCCCGAGGCATAATCCCTGCTCTCCTAGCGGTATCAATCACGTATCATCATGGGCCTGAAAACGGCAAATCGATTTGCCGTGGAGCAAGTCTTGCAGATCTGTGACAAAAATGCTAGAATGTCCGAAGTTTGGCCGGATAGCAGTGGGGTTCGAATACAAGGAGACCGAATGAGCGACGCCATGATGCGGAGAAGACCGCCAAAGAAACCGGCCGAGGATTGTGAAGGTTAGGAAAAGCAGTGGGGTGACGATCAGTAAAAGTCGAAAACGCGCGGAATTCCCATTTCCTCGAGTTAGAGGGAAATCCGGGGATCTCCACAAATGTGGGGAACACTCCTATCCCACTTTATGGCTGTTAGAGTCGGCATTTCTTATTGCTTGTTATATATCTGAGTACTTAATTCAAGGTAATGTAATGCTGGAGACTAACCCTGAAGATGTTCGCATCTTGCCGTACTCTTCTTTTCCACTCTTATTATTTACCCCTCCACTCATACTAACCTGTTTCAACCTTAATTACTCAGGACATGCCCAGGTGCGAATACTTCAAAAGAACGCATCAAGAGCGCTTTATTGGAAGGAAATCCTATTATAAGTATTCTCTTGAGAGTAATCCATTCATGTGAGATATCACGGTAGAGTACAGGCCTTACAGACTGACAAGAGGCTATACTTCATATGATATGGCTCTCACAGATATATAAACCCGAAGCAAACTTCCTAGTTCAATGAAGACCATCCATATTCGCTTAGACCAGTATGTAGCCTTCTAGACGAACCCGCGCCAGACAAGAATCCGCAATCCCCTTCCAAATGAAATTTGATTCCCTCAAAACATACTCAAGCCAGACAATTCACAAACGGCAGACCAATTTTCTCCTGGATCTCTCTAAATGCCTGAAGTAACTTTTCTTCCTCCAACTTCTTAGCAACCAGCTGTAAAGAAACAGGTGCATCCTTTTGCTTTACCGGGTCATAATGCTCGTATGCCCAGCTGTCAAATTCGTTCTTCGGAGTGTAAGTATTGTCCTTGGCATCTCTCTCGGGATCCACCTTGGTAACGGGGAACACAAGAGCTGAATAATCGAGAAGATTGAACAAAGAAGTGTAACCCCAGTACCTTGAAGTGTCATGAAGGGGGGCGGGCGTAGGGAAAGCAGGACAGAGTATAACATCCATTTCGGGGGCGACATTGTTCCACTCTGTAGTGGAATCAGGTTGGATCAGAATCAGGTATTGATCATGGATGATTGAAGTACTAACCTTGCAAATATGAGTAGCGGAACATTTCCCGTTTCCCAGTCCAATCCCACAGGCCCTGGTGGCTAAGTTCTTCAATGCCAGGGGTATCCCGCAAAGTCCAAGCCGTGAGCGGCGTCAATGGCTCACCCGAGGCCTCGGCATTTCTGGCAAAGGCTCTTCCACCATCTGGAGCATAAAGTCTCGTCTATATATATTCATTGGTTAGTTCATCTCAGATTGATCATTGAAGTGATATAGATCACTCACAAGAATCTCGAGAGCCTCCTTCTGCTTATATGGTTTCCATTCAATAACATCAATATTATCCACCGATTTCAGACGCTCAACCATTTCCTTCAAAGCTCTTGTCACTGCGGGTGCGGGAGTAACGACATCATCAGTCCACATCACACCGACCGTTAGCTTCTTGTTATCCAAGTGAACGTGCTTCTCCTGGTCTCTCCAAGGGATGGGAAGCATCATCGAGTCTGTGACCCAAGGCTTCGATTCGATTATCGTCTTCATGAAAAGTTCAATACCGCCGAGTGTTGGTGAAAGAGGCCCAAGTGTTCCCAAAATTGCGTCACATCCGAGAAGGTAGGAAGCGCATCCGATGAGCGGTAGTCGACCGGTTGAAGGCTTTAGGCCGTAGAGGCCACAATTGGCGGCGGGGGAGCGAATACTACCACCTGGATCTATTGTCAGTAGTGAAGAAATCAATCTAGAGAATCTCGCAACATACCGATGTCTGAGCCGATTCCCAGAGGGCTGCCATAGAGAGCTTGCAACGCTGACTCTCCGCCAGAAGAGCCACCGGGTGTGAGAGCGGTATTATGTGGGTTGGTGGTGGTGCCAGTGATATTGCTGCAAGTTTCAAGAGCCATCTATCGTAAAACCAAGGCATCAGCTATAAATCAACACAGGAAATTGAGATCTGCTAACCAATCCCTGTGGCTCCGTTGTTCTTGCATAAACAACTGCACCGGCATCCAAGAGAATCTTCACAATATTTGCATCGTCTTTGCTCACCCTGTCCAGGCAACCGACGAATCCAGCAGCCAAGTCTCGTCCCTTGAGGCCTACATGCGCTTTGATGCTAATTGGCAACCCGTGAAGGGGACCAGAGGGCTTTCCATGCTCTGCAATATAATCATCGAGCTCTTTGGCACGGGCAATGGCACGGTCGGGAAGAAGCTCGTAAATACAGTTGGTCTAAGCAGATGAGTGGTTAGAATGCAAAACTTCAGGTATTCGCGGAACACAACTTGCAGGGTTACTCACCAGCTTCTGAGCGATCGCAGCCCGCCGAAGAAAAGCATTTGTTACCGCGTTTGCACTTAGTTTACCCGTTGCAAGGGAAGCCACCAATGTCTCAGCGGAACTCTCTGTAATAGCGATCTCTGTCTGCGAAAGGTGCTTTCTGGGGAAATCGATCACCCTGCCAGTATGTGTATCGGGAAGAGCAGCAATGGCGGGGTCGACGTGCTCTATGGAAAGATCACGCACTACCTGGACCCGGCGGCCTGACTCTTGCCAGGAGAGCTTCTGTTCAGACACGGTCATTGTTCTAGCTGAGGTTGAGTGGCTTTAGGTTCGGGGTGGGTTGGATGAACGAGCTCCGTAGAATGCAGCACTGTGTTTAATAAAGTATCTGGGCCTGCTTCCGTCATCTCCGACACGGGCCACTCGATGTGCGACTAGAAGGGAAAAGGCTCCAGTTCTTGGCCCCAATGTCGCACCTCAAATTGGACGGCAGCAGTAGTACGATCATCGGGCCATTTATCCACTGTGCGCCGCCGAGACAAACATACATAGTACTTTGATTGCAGGCCCCAATATTGTATCGGCGCCAAGCAGAAAAGAACCATCCGATAGGTTATATTAGCCCTGAGACCCGCCATGCCGTCGGACGCCCGAATAGCGGGCCGTGGATCTACGATCGTCACCTCGGGCGTTTCAAGTCGTGCGCTATTTTATGCAGTTGGTTCCTTCTATACTAGTGCCAATATAATATGGCGCTGATCTCTTTTAATGATCTCAATTGCGTGGTCTTAGGCCCTAACATCCTTGAAAATTGAATTGGACGATGATTGCTGTCTCGGATGTTAGCAACATGGAGGTTTACCAGGGAATAAACCTCCATATATTCAGGGTGACTCTTGAAAGTTAGAGATTCACAACGCGCAGGCACATATGACCGACCTTCAGGAGGACCTCGGACCAACTCTATGGGTGGTGAACACGATTTTCATTGTGCTGGCCACATTCGCCGTTATTGCCCGTTTCAGTGCTCGACGACTGCGAAAGTTATCCCTCGGCGCAGATGACTGGATCATCTGCGTAGCCCTTTTCTGGGATTGGATATTATATGGGATATTCGTGGGATGTCAGTGCCACCATCATGACTCTGATCCTGCTAAAGAATCACGGTATTAACACGGGCGAACTTTTAGGTCGAATTAATGGCCTCGGCAAGCACCGAGCAACCCTCTCACCAGAAAAAGTCGCTATATTCTCCGAACTCCTCTATTTCTTCCAGATCTTCTACGTGCTCGGCCCCCCGAGTGTGAAGCTAGCATTGCTTTTTCTATACCGACGCATTTTCGAGCATTCGAGTTTCTTACGACTTGTCAACGGCATGATCGTTCTGATCTCTATATGGGCAATTGTGATGGTTTTCCTTGCTATTTTCAATTGTAATCCGATTAGCGCCTTCTGGACAACGGAGGGAACTTGCTTGGACTTTAAGCAATTTGCTGTCGCCTATGCAATTGTAAATATTATCACTGATTTTGCGGTTTGGTTGATGCCAATTCCCAAAGTGTGGAAGATCCAGCTTCCAAAACCACAGAAGATCGCTCTGTCCCTGATTTTTGCATTGGGTCTTTTGTATGAGCATTCTTTTCTCTCAAACGTACAGATAGCCAGTATTCGTGCCTTGCTAATACATCATTCTCTAGTGATTGTGCTGCAGCCATGGCTCGCCTTCTCCTCTCGATGCTTGTCCTGGGTGAGTACGACTCCACATGGCATTATGCAAAGGGATACATGTGGTCCATTATCGAACTTTCAACAGGCATTGTCTGCACATGTCTGCCAACGATGCGAGTACTTTTGAAGACAGCCTTCGGTGGAGCTTTTGCAAGAATCTTCGGTATGTCGAGCGGGAAGGCCAGCCACCAGCCATCAAGCAATACGCCGTGGTCTGGAAAAAAAGATGATTATAATAATACTATTGGGGAGGTAAGGTCAGAGGAGGACTTTTCCAATATCCATTGTACATACAAGGTTTCGGAATTGGATGACGGAGACTGGGAAACAAGCTCACAGCGAATCCTGGTGACCGAGGAGGTAAACATTGAACTTCAGCCAGTCAAGCAAAGGGCATCTTTAAAGGTACCTTAATCCACACACTTTATTAGAGTGTTTACTTCTTACAGAAATACTTTTTCTGTCGAAAGCTCTTCCTCAACTACAATATCTAATGTTGCTAGTGTTGTAGATCTGCTTGGCAAACTCATGCATAGCTTCATACTATGATGGTAGCAGTGGATTCAATCTGCATTTTTAACGATCAATAAACGAGAATAGAGACATCGGCCATGTGGGGTCGTCGATCGTTGGTATAAGAACTATTATTGTGTGAAATAGCAATGGAAAGCCAAGAAGTGGCATAAGAAATCCGGTAGGTAGGTAAGACTGTACGCAAACTGGTCACAGAATCGAGTTGCGGCAAACCGTCAGGAAGGTAGGATTCAGAATTAACGATTCCTATGCATGATCATCAGTAACAAGCAAGACACCTCGATATACAGTGCTGTTTGCCAACCGAAATAGGTTGATCGATTGCTCAAGGATTCCCAGCCTCTCAAGATGGTTCATACGCATAGCAAGAAGAGACTTTCTCTCCTTCAATAAAAGAATAAGCTTGTGTCGAAACCAGCGCGTCCTGGCCTTTAATCTCTCCGTCTCGTCATGCACAAACATTGCTTGTACTGGGGTGGGTCTGTCTCGTTGAATCGCGTGCAGACGGTTTTCCCAAGCCGGTGATGCCGCCATTTCCATATTCAATTGCTTCTTGAGCTCACGAAACTCATTCGCCCAGACAAACATTTTAGTTTCCCAGGTTTCGATATCCCTCTTCAGGGCATTGAATGTTCGGCGGATCATCCATACGTGGAGCCGGGCAAGCAAGAGCTTGATCCACGCTGCTGCCCACGAGATAAGAGGAATGTCGACCATCGGGAACACAACAAAGAAAATGAGGCCATCCATGGGGAGTTGGATGTTGGAAGCAATAAAGATGAGAATATGCAAAAGTTGAGTGAGAAAGTGAGTTAAATTCTAGAACCTAAAGCAAAATAGGAAAGACCTACTCAGCGCTTTCCGAGTAGCCCCTTCCTATCCTTTTCTCCTTCACCCTCTTTCACATCTCCTTTACTTTCATAGGTTTGCGTGGAAAAAAACAAATGCCGCCCAGATCCCGGATTAAAAACTGTTGATTCAATCTCAGATCTGCAGATCCCCCGAATGATATCGGCAGCCCACTCAGCCACCGCATACACCGTTGCAATAGGGTTTGCATTGGTGATAAGCGGGAAAATATTCGCATCGACAACCTGCAGATTCTCCGTCCCATACACCTTCAGATCTTGATCCACTCCACTTCCTGGTTCACGGGGGAGCATCGCCGCAATGCCGCATCCATGGTCACAAGTCACTGCCGCCGCCTCACGCAGCTGCTTCCTGATTGTTTCCGGATCCTTTGGCCCTACGCTCGACTGCACGAATGGCTGTACAGCTGGAGCTGCAGTTAGACGGTGCAAGCTTTGCACATGTCGAGCCAGAATCTCTATATCCAGATTATCGCTGAAGCATCGCGTGTCAATAGTGGGCATCTCACTTGGATCCGCCGATGTGATATGGCTACTCCCTCGTGAGAAGGGCACGCTGCTAATGGCACCCAAGATGACCATGCTCTCAGGTGTTACAGCCATGAATATGACCGCGGATGCTTCATCGGGGTTTCTCAAAAGTGGTTTCATAACCTGTTTTGATGAGCCCACGGACTCGAAGCGCCCCGCAAACAGCATGTTCTGCTCTTCTTCGCCGAGGGATGCAAACGTCAAACCCTTGAATCCAAGAGATATTCCCTCGAGGTCTAGGTGGGGTTGAGTGGAACTGGGAACACGCTCATTACATGGTTCTGGAGGTTCTCGCCCACCGCTGGCTGATCACTAACCAATGCGATACCGAGACATTTTAATCTATCTTTGGCGCCGATCCTGGCCAACTCTAGTAGCTTTAGTGTGTGGAAAGTACCGGCTACAAGCATAACTTCCTTGGTTGCCTGAACGTTCATGATCTGCCCATCATATATGAACTCCGCTCCAGCAGCCAAAGTCTTATTCAAACTAGAGGGAAAGAGGACCCGGCGAAGTGTTGCGCTTGTGATTATACTCACGTTAGCCCGCTGGGATGCTAATCTGCCATATTCGTTGTCGGCACTGCTACGGAGACCCGAGGGAGGATCTACAGTGGCTAGCTAATCACGCGTCCCAATCGCCCTTTTTTCTGCAAAAATGTCAACATTATGCTCATGTCCCTAGCTCTTGAACGCATCTTTCCATGCTTTCCCGAAGGAAAGGCTCTGCTTGTCGTTTAAGGCAGGAAAACAAACTTCGATTAGCCCCTGAGTAGGATCATCCATGGATGCTCAGTCTCAGTACCAGGGAATGGAGGTTTGCGATAGCCCATCGGCTAGCGTTGGGAAAGAATTCACAGCAAAGATCAGAAGGCATTGTGTAACTAGGAACTGAAGTGGACTTAGAGACATATTACCATATGTTAGATTGAGACTTGAATTCTCCATGACTGGGCTTAAATGAGGTCCCTTCTAACATGGCTTTCTCCGGTTACAGTTGGCGCATCCCCCACAGTCCAATAATACCCCAATGTGAAAGCTAAAAGCGGGGTCTAAACATAAGGTAATTAAAAAAAGTCAGGTTTTCGGAATATTATGGGCTTTGGGCCCCTATTCTAATATTATGGGCCCGGTAGGCTTTCACCTTGGGCCTATAGCCCACCGGTGGGCCCGAAGATAGGGCCCAAAGCCCAACCCACTGATGGGTTGGGCTTTGGGCTTTGTGGGCTTTGCGGAGGTCTAAGCTGGGCAACATACGGATGCTTCCGTCTTTCTTGGTGTATTATGTGCACCAATTGATAGAAAGGGTGGGGCTGGGAAGGCATATATATCAACCAATAAGAGACCCGTCACGGCCGCTATAGTAGACCCCACCATCTCAGTCCCTTCGGAGATTCCGCCGAGTTAGCACGTCAATTAGCAACTCTGAAAAAAATAAACTGCAGTTCACTTTTGGGCACACCATGTCTGCAGAGACTGCTAGAGAGCCTGCATCTGAGCAGACGCCCCTGCTTGGGGATGCACCCGATGATGCCAGTGGAAATACCCCACTACCCCAGGAACACAGTACCAAGGAGCTGATTTGGATCCTCGGAAGCATCTGGCTCGGTGTCTTCCTGGCTGCTCTCGGTATGAACTCCGCTGACTCTTCGCGAGAACAAAATTAACCTGAGCTTTACAGATACAACAATTGTCGCGACGCTGTCCGCGCCTATCTCTTCGTCCTTCAACTCATTCTCCCTGCTCTCATGGCTAGCCACTTCTTATCTGATCTCCAATGCCGCCTGCCAGCCCCTCAGTGGCCGATTGACTGATATTTACTCTCGTCGCTGGGGGCTTGTGTTCTCCAACATCGTCTTCGCCCTCGGCAACTTGATCTGTGGCCTGGCAAGCGCGCAATGGGTTATGATCGTTGGTCGCGTCGTGGCAGGTGTCGGAGGAGGCGGTCTTACTGCGATCTCGACCTTTGTCACTTCGGACTTGATTCCTCTCCGCAAGCGCGGCATTTGGCAGGGCATCGGAAACATCTGCTACGGTGCTGGCATGGGACTTGGAGGTGTGTTTGGCGGGTGGATCAACGACACTCTGGGATGGAGGTGGGCATTTTTGCTCCAGGTTCCCTTCTTGCTCCTCTCGTGTATTCTAGTTGCGATTAAAGTCAAGATTCCCGTGAAAGAGTCGGATACCGCGCGCATCAAGCGCGTTGACTTCCTCGGCGCTATCACTCTGGTTCTGACACTGGTCACATTATTGCTTGGCCTCAACACCGGCGGAAACCAGGTACCCTGGACACACCCGCTGGTTCTGACATCGCTGGTTGCCTCTGCTGTCTTCCTGGGTCTGTTCATCTACGTGGAAGCCGAGGTTTCTTCTGAGCCTGTTATTCCTGTGCGCCTTCTGCTGGACCGCACCGTGGCAGCTGCTTGTCTGACTAATTGGTTCGCTACCATGGCCGTGTTCGGCCTCCTCTTTTACTTACCGGTGTACTTCCAGGTACAAGGACTTTCTGCGACTGCGGCGGGTGCGCGAATAATCCCGCAGGCGATCGGCACCTCGATTGGCTCCTTGGGATCGGGTTTCATTATGCGTGCCACCGGTCGCTATGCGCCTCTAAACTATCTTGCCATGGGTATTCAAGTTCTCTCCGCTGGGCTTATCTGCACTTTGAATCTATACACGCCCGTGGGACTGCCGTTCCTCTATTTCTTCCTGGGTGGTGCGTCCTATGGTAGCATGCTAACCATCACCCTGGTGGCACTCATTTCTTCCGTGGACCACCAGCACCATGCGGTGGTGACGTCTGCTTCGTATGCCTTCCGCAGCACCGGAAGTACGCTTGGTATCACGGTCGCTTCGGCTGTCTTCCAGAACACCCTGAAGCTCGGACTCTGGTCTCGATTGGGTGAGCGCGATGACGCCAAGGAACTGATTGGACGGCTTCGAGATAGCTTGGACGAGATTTGGAAAATGCCTGCAGACTTGACACCTGGAGTGCTTGATGCATACATGGACTCGTTGCGGGCGGTATTTGTGACATTGTTGGGCCTGGCTGTTCTGGGTGCATTTGCCAGTCTTGCCATGCGAGAGCACAAGCTTCACAACAATCTGGCCCGACGATAGAGTGAGCATTCATTCGGGCTTAGAAATGTTCAAGTTTTATATAGGTCAGTATATATACAGCAATTATGTACATTGTACAGGAATAGAAAAGCAAAGTATTTGTGGAAGTTAAAGTAAGATGCTTGATATTAGGCCTTGACCGCTTCCCGCTAGAGCGGAAGTGCCCAAACACTCGCCAATCAATCTGAGCTCTTCCTGTACGGGCCCGTCTTTAACCGCCATAGACACTCGAACTAGCATTTTCCTCTTTGTCATTGGTGGACCTCCCCCTTGAGAGGATCCAGGAAGGATCTCGGCATTTTTTCGCTGTTTAGCAACTCTGTTCATTCGGCAGCTCATTAAGACGGATGTGGCAAAGACGTGGCGACGATCCAGACAACGCAACGACCTCACCGCTCGCAACCAGTTGATCGCCGTTGCACAAAAAGCAACAGCCCGATTTAAATCCCGGGTTGCATGATTGGACTCTGATCAGACCACAGTCTAGTCTGATAACTTATCTCTGCAATAAGGAGTAGGAGAGTTCCCAATTGATATTGTTTTACCGCTTCTCGACGTCGATTCTTCTATACCTTTCCTACCAGACTTCTTCCGTCCGACCGCCTTATCCTCATTCAGTTCAGCCTGTCTTATTAGTCGCATTGGCATGGCAGTTGGATTTCGATCTAATATTTCCCCGATTATACAAGAGAATAGCATTACAAAAGGAACGTGGTCAAGGGAGATGGAGGTGGATGGAGAGTGTGATGAGACGGTGATTGGAAATAAAGTGGTGGAAAATGCGACATCATCGCATCCCCGGCGCCGCCGTTTGCTCTTGTCGACAGATAGCGCTTTCGCCAGCACCGTCCTCCCGTCCCTCGTTCAGAACCCATATATCGAACTGCGACTGATCACAGACGAACCCTCGGCTTTGCTCACGGGCACCAACAAGATCCCGCACTACATGGATACGGTCGACAGCCAAACATTCGATAAGAAAACCTGCGCGCGCAAATGGCTGAAGGCGAAGACGGCGGAGCTATGCGAATGGGCGGACATGCTCTTGGTTGCGCCTATCGATGCTGGAACCTTGGGGGCCATGTTGGCCGGTTTGACGAATACCTTGACGTTGGCGCTCCTTCGTGGCTGGGTCTCGAAGAAACCTGTGGTCCTCATTCCAGGAATGACGGTATCAGAATGGGATCACCCGCTCAGCACTCGACAACTTGATGAGATCAGTCGTTTTTGGCCTTGGATTTGCACTGTCAAACCTGTGCTCTGGAAGTCTAACGGGCCCGAAGACCTGACGATACTGCCCTGGGACGGCCTGAAGGAGTTACACCAGACACTGGAGACAACTTTAAAATTACCGCCGTGGGAGGTTACCCTGTCGACTAGAGCGATCTCCCACGGCACTGCGGTCCCGGCTAAGACTGCATCAAAATCTACATCTGGAAGTGCCAGCGGCTCCACACCACAAACGAAACATACTGGCAGTGCCGATTTTTTACCACTGGAAATATGGCTGAATGTTTTTGAAGATCAACTGCGAGACTGGGAAACAGCGAAAGCCGTGGGAATTCCAACCCATCTTCCTGTCCCCCAAGAATGGCAGAGCCATCTACCCAAAATGTCCACTACGGCCACGCTCGAATATACTATCTTGCGAGGATCGTTCGCTGCAATCAAAAAGCGCATTGATGCGCTACCTCGCTGGAAACCGCTCTCCGACCTCGCCTGTCACCTCATTGTCAAATTCTCCCGCACCGACATCCTTTCCTATCTCACCGAAAACCACCTGGACCTTCTCTGGACAACTTCTCGACTCACGAATATTCCATACCGGGCATCCGCAATCTACGGCAATCCGAACGTATTGACATGGTGGCGCGATGCGCCCGCTCTCCCAAACAAAGAGTACATGGCCGACGCCATGGACGGCGCCTCCCGAGCTGGTTTCGTCGAGGTACTAGACTGGTGGCTCCACTCAGGGCTCCCGCTACGATACAGCGAGCGTGCCCTCGAAGCCGCCAGCGCCGAAGGTCGAGTCCACGTACTCGACTGGTGGAAAACCGCCTCGGCCAACGCCCCGAAGTCCAAACCCTTGCCTCTCAAAGTCGGCAAATCCGTGCTACTCGCCGCGCAATCGGGTCGTACTGCATCCCTTGCTTGGTGGGACGCATCAGGGATCCCTTATAGCCACGCCGAGAATGTTACCCGGATCGCGAGCACGCATGGCCATGTCCACGTCCTCGAGTTCTGGTACAAACTCAAGGGCCCGAAAATGATCTTCGACAACCAGGTACTGGTTGGCCCAACGAAGAATGGCCACGACCACATTCTGCAGTGGTGGAAAAGCTGCGGTCTGCGGGTTGAATTCAAGACCTGTGATATTGAGGAAGCCCTTGAGGATGCTGATCCCAGCTCTGGAGCTGAGGGTCGTGTTCGACGTTGGTGGGAGCGGAATGGACTTAATCTTGGAGTTGGTACGAGTGAGTGGATGAGATCGAAGGTTCTGTGAGAATTCATTTTGCATCACTGCATGGTTGGCTTGCGGTTTTTTGGTCTTTTGGCGTCTTGGGAAGGGATTCTTCTTTCCTTTTCTGTTGCAGTTTCGTTTTGTTCTTTTTCATATCATGACTCCAGATGACCACAAATACCCATTTGAATATTTCACAATGCTATCATTTTCATCGCATGTTGGAGCTTCCATCTTGTCTCGAGCTGGACGAGGAATATATCTTGTCGTGTGATTCAAATTGAATCTAATATTTACATTATCTTCGGTGGTCGAGTGATGAAATAATGCCATTCTCCTATTTTAATATAATCATTGAATTAATGGAAAAAACTGCTGTATACTGTCTATATACTCATCTTTAGACCCCAGAGACCTTGAGATGGTCCCGGGGTCTTGGAATTGCTGAGTCAAGGCCCAGCCCGCTGTGGCTCCAATGCTCCACTCAGTAAATCGCAACCATCCAACAACCTCCAACCCAACCAATTCTGCTGATGCTGGCACGTTGGGTTCTGCGACGCGCGCTGCGCGTTTCAAAGCTGAGAGAAATATTAACCCGCACGCGACAGCCATCACCAAGTCCTTATAACAACATCCCATCAAATGGCACCAATGGCCTCCGCAGCATCAGAAAGCGACAGAGCGTCGCTCAAAATATACGATCAAATATTCAATCACGAAGTATAGTGACAGACGCTATTCCAAGCTTTGCCGTACCGCCTCTCATGTTCATCGGGCTCCTACTCGGCCTCTGGACCTGGAAATGCTTCTGGATCATCATCATGCAAAACAAGCTCCTCTACCTATCTTGGCTACCTCCATTCACAAGAGCTGAAGTAATTTCAGACTATGAGGCTGAATGTAGGCCGGTGCGATGGGAGGAGAAGCAGATTCGCAGTTTGGATGGGACTAAATTGGCTGTTTGTGAGGGTCAGATCCCGGTCCCTCACAAGGACGAAGAATGTTTTTTAAAAGCCGGTGCTGTACAAAATAAAGATCAGCCCCCAAGACGAAAAAAGTCCGTTGTGATCTGTTACTTTCAAGGCAATGGTGGATCGACTCCTATGCGATTGCCTCTTCTCTCTCAGGTCCTGCGCGCAATTACGGAAATGACAAGATCAAGTTCATCTCCTATATCTGATTCTGACGTCTCTCAATATACTATTGCTGCTGTATCATACCGCGGCTACTGGAGATCATCTGGCCGCGCCACACAGTCCGGTATTGAGATGGATGCCCAGGCATTCTTGAATTGGGTGTCAGAAACATATGCGTCCCCAGAAACCAATCTTGAGATTGTAATCTGGGGCCACAGCCTAGGTGCTGCTGTTGCAAGTTCAGCAGTATCTACATATATTGCCCGTCAACACGAGGGACAAACCTCAAATACAAGCAGTAACAGGCCTCTGGCGCCTATCACCAGGCTGATTTTGGAGGCGCCAACATCCAGCATTAAAGATATGCTCATCAGCCTCTACCCTCAGAAATGGCTTCCATACAGGTATCTTTGGCCATTCTCTTGGAATACCTGGGATATCAAGGCGAAGATGAAACAGATGGCTACATGGCGAGACCAACCCGGGTCTCAAATTCCCAACCCTGAAGCTACACCATCAATACGTCGCTCGCTTCCACCGATCCTTCTTCTCTCCGCCGAGAAAGATGAAGTGATTCCATCATACGTACCAGGGCAGTTAGAACAACACGCCAAGTCTCTCGGCTTGGAAATCGAGAGAAAAGATGTCCTCGGCGCCATGCATATAGAGGCACCACTCAAACTGGATGGTAGGAAGGCAATGGTGCAATTTATCCTGAACGGCACGTCCGCTTCCAGGACATAATCTAATAACCCCACGATAGATACCACATAGATGAATGAAAGTCATATAATAATTTACTCCCACTTCTCAATACGGACATGCTTAACATCCGCACCTTTCATCAGCGCCTGAATCTTCCTAAACTCCTTCGAAACCTCAGACCCCGCGAAATCAAAATGATCCTGGACTTGATTCCACCCGCTGAAAAGAACAAATTCCTCATCTTCGCCTTCTTTGTCGACGCGCCACGCACCACAGGAAATGAATGGTGCCGTGGCGGCATTCAAATCAGCCACGCCAACCTTGAAAACAGCGTCGAATTCATCTTTCTTGCTTGACTCGACGAAGCAGCGGGTTATAGCGATAACAGGTGCTTCCAGTGGGATTTTGGATGTAGATGGCTGGATTCTGTTAGCTTATATTCCTTAATAACACACATGAACCACGAAGTCAGTTCATCAAGATTGGAAAGCTCACATCAAGGTCCAAGTGAAACATCCAGCTAACATCGAGACTATCCTTCAATTTCGCGTGTAGGTTTTGGTTGGCTTCGGATGAAGTCCACTGGCCTCCGGCCATATGTTTCTCGATAGATTCCCACCCACCCAGCAAATAAAATGATTCTGAGTCTTCGATCTGGCGGAGATATGTGACCTGATAGCCCGAATATTCTGTCAGTGCCTTCTGGGCTTCTAAGGCAGTAGTCTTGGCGGAAGATGAGTCTTGCGATTTAACGCGGAGGAGGGCGAGTTCGGTCACGGGCATTTTATGTTCGTTTTGAGTAGATGACCTGGCCTTAGTGTTATGAGAAAGAATATGGTAATTTTGTCCTCGATTATTGGGGCTACACGTTGTTTTATAGGTTTCTGTCTAGTCCGTCGGGCCGCCGAGAAAGGCGCGAAAGAGGCCGAAGAGCGAGTCAGGGGCGGGGCGCTTAGCTAGCTGTGCGAGGCTTCTTCTGGCTAATTCCAAGCTCGGCGCTATTTGACTAATCAGTCATGTTCGATGTGTTTCATACAAAGACTGCTGGGTTTGTCACCATTGAATATCTTGGAATGTTGGGGGGTTGGGGCTACAAGCTAAGGGTTTCTTTCAAACAAAGCCAATATATATCTTCGCACCGGAATTCGAAAAGGGGTTTACAAAAATTGCTATGCAATCAATTGGACATTGATTTAAGGATATACACACCCAAGACACCAGCGATCAAAATGGATATTCACCTTTCAGCAACACGATAGCCAATGCCTTTGGGTATACCGATAAAGCACAAGACTAAACAATGTATGAAACAAATCAAAACCGCAAACCGCAAAAGTACAGATCATCCGAACTTCAGCTTTGTAACCACATGGATCAGACCTCTTTCCTGTAGGGACGTTAATAAACATGAGGTGTAATCAAGACGAAGAACAACGTACCAAGTATGTTGGGGTTTCTCAATGGCCGGGGTCTTAATAGCATTCTTGTCCCCAAAGGGATTGTCTTCATCATCTTCTTCTTCGGACTCACTCTCGCTCTCGAAGATTTGGCGGGTGTGTTGTGTCGAAGATGCAAGAGGCAGGCTATCAGGACGATTGGGCCGTGGCGGCTTTGGGGGATTGATATTAAGCCCGGCAAGGCCGTCGTTCACGTCCGTGTCATTCAGTCCAGCCCCATGTCTTTGCTTCCAATTTCCTTCCAAGCCTTCGTCCTCACTATCACTGTCGTAGTCCACGCTCTTGTCCAGCACTTCGAATGCCATCAATGCATCCACCAGCTCATCGTTCGCATGGATCAGACCGCCCAGGAACTCTTCAGTCTCTATATACTGGATATATCGGAGGATCCCATGACGAAGCTGCTTGCATGTCTCGAATCGGTTGATGCATTCCGCATCCTCACTCACTCGATGCGTCTCGCGATTGACGAGTTTAAGGGCATTCAACAGGTTGGTGCTAGCAACGGAAGAAGCAGCAAGCGCTTGCAGGATATCCGGGCGCTCCTTTTCAATATCAAATCTCTTGCCGCTAATTGAAAGTTTCTTATCTTTCTTGACTTTCTTCACCTTTTGTTTGGGACTGGTCAGCAAAGTGGATGGTCCACCGGCCCCCGACACAGATACAACATGACCCATCGGGGGGTCGTTTGGATTCGCAGTCGACCCCTCGCGGAGAACCTTGGCCTTTGCCTGTGTCGCAGGCTGCTTTCGCTTGGGAACTTGCTTGTATAGCGCCGTGACCTTCGCCATACCAGGAGTGTCCTTATAAGTTGTCGCCCATTGTCCAAAAATCTGTTTGCATTTCTCTTTCACGAGTGGATCCGAAACGGGATCAGTAGCTGCAATGCGCAGACGTTCGAGCAAGGCCTCGTCAGCGAAATCGCGCAAAAAACGTTCTCCTGCATTTTGAACGAGGAAGTCGAGAATGGTAAGTGCGCGAAGTTGTCGATGGATGTTGCCATATTTTCTGGATTGGTCAGACTGAGTTCCGGCACTGTCAATACTCGTACACTCACAGCTTCTTGCGAAGAGCCCGACTTGCTTCCATTGGGCCGCTGGCCTGGATGCGGACTACTTCCACCAGATCAACGATTCCGCTGGAGTCTTCGACCTCATATTGTTCGCTCGTGAGGACCTCAATTTGTACGGTCACTGCCGAATACGGTTTCTATTGAAAACCATATCAGTTGGTGCTGGAAGGTGTATGATCTTCACGCAATAACTTACGGAGGATTGGAACATTCTGGCCTAGTCAAAAGAATAACCTCTTGAACAGTGTATACTTGTTTGAGTAGGAACCAGTCCGGAGAATTGAAGATTTTGCCCCTGGTATCAACAGCCCGCAATCACCCCGCGTTGCGATGTCGGTATAGAGATGACCCCGCACGGCGTTGTTTACAAAAACGTTTCGCAAAAATCGGGTGTATATGGAATATCGACAACGATAGGATGCAACTCGATTTGCTAGAAAAACACCGGAAAGGGATTAACGGTGTGAATTCCAACATAAGGTTTCAGAGAGCTTTCGCGATACCTTCACGTGGTGTCGGTGACGTCGGAGGCCCCAGGGGTGTCTTGGCGTCCGTTAATCCGATAAGCGCAATGAAAGGTGCGGCGAATGCAGAAGGAATATATAGCCAGTTCCCAATTTGTTCAACAGGCCATCTAAATTGCAATATGGCCTTGTTACAGGGAAAAGGAGAGTTGAAACAACGCTGAGACAGTTTAAGCTTATCGGCTCCTCGTGACTATTTCGGCCCAAAGGGGATTAGGGCGGGGTCTGGTGCCTGAGGCCAACGATGAGAAAGAGGTCCTGAATGACGACTTCGCAAACCAATATATTAACCAATAAGACCGCGACAAAGCAAGAGTAGTCGATCCCGGCTGCAATTCTTGCCAGTTGATTTCGGATGAAGCTTTCTTCTGCACACCGAACAGATCCGTCCCCACGTTCTTATTTGTTACGCGTACTGTCCCGCTTCGTGGTCTGCTCCACCCTCATTCTCGCCGTCAGCGTGGCTCTGAAATCCCGCTCTCGTCTCTCCCTGCTTCTCCCCCACTTCTCTTCCAACCATCCCACAATTATGTCTTACCAACAGGAACGTTACATCGCCGAATTGGCCGTCCAGCGGGCATGCCTCCTGACACAGAAGGTCTTCTTCGAGAAGGCTAAGGGCACAGTCTCCAAGGACGACAAGTCTCCCGTCACCATTGGCGATTTCGGCGCTCAAGCCCTGATCATCTCGGCTATCCGCAAGAACTTCCCCAACGATGAGATTGTTGCCGAGGAGGAGGCCAACACCCTGCGTGAGGACAAAGACCTCAGCGCTGAGATCTGGCGCTTGGTCAAGGATATCAAGCTGGATGATGCGGAGAGCGATAATATTCTGGGTGGCCCCCTCACCAGTGAGCAGAGCATGCTGGACATCATTGATAGCGGAAACAGTGCCGGTGGTCCCAAGGGCCGCATCTGGGCCCTCGATCCCATCGACGGCACCAAGGGCTTCCTCCGTGGCGGCCAGTACGCCGTGTGTCTCGGTCTGATGGTTGACGGTGACGTCAAGGTCGGTGCTATTGGTACTCCTAACCTCCCCGTCGACGATGCTGCCCCCATTGATGCTAGCACCGGTGTCCAGCAGTCCGCGACTGCCGGCAACGGTGTCCTGTTCTCCGCTATCCTGGGTGAGGGTGCCACCAGCCGTCCTCTGGCCAGTGGTACTCTTGCTGCCAGCAAGCCCATCTCCATGCGCCCCGTCGCCAAGATCTCCGACGCTGTCTTCTGTGAAGGTGTTGAGGCTGCTCACTCCGCCCAGGGCGACAACGCCGCTGTTGCTGAGCTTCTTGGCATCACCGCCCCCAGCGTGCGACTGGACTCGCAGGCCAAGTACTGCTCCATTGCCCGTGGTGCCGGTGACGTCTACCTGCGTCTCCCCGTCAAGAAGGATTACCAAGAGAAGATCTGGGATCACGCCGCTGGTGACTTGATTGTGCGTGAGGCTGGTGGCCAGGTGACTGACATCTACGGCAACCGGTTGGATTTCAGCAAGGGCCGGACCTTGGCTGTCAACAAGGGTGTCGTTGCTGCCCCCAAGGCCCACCAGGACCAGGTCATTGATGCCGTCAAGACCGTTCTGAAGTTGTAATTGGTTTAAAAGATTTAGTTTCGTCGCCTTTTCCACTGCACTTGAGCTCCCGGGGAGCAGAATCAGTTTGAAGTAGATTTGTGATACCATCGCTTGTGAGAGGAATAAAAAAATACATATATGACGATAGAATACAAAACACGGAACCAAACACAAAATGTCCCGCGCAGCTGAAAAGAAATGCGCTTCCAGTCTATTTAATTTTCTTCGCCTTGAGCTTGATAGTCTCCCCGTTGACGAAGATACCCTTACCCTTGTACGGCTCGGGACGTCTCCATTCTCTGATCTCGGCCGCGAATTGGGTCACAATCCGCTTGTCGACACCCTCCAACAGGATCCTGGTAGGCTGCGGTGTGCTCGCCAAAACACCCTCGGGGATACCCAATTCAATTGGGTGGGAAAAGCCGACCTTGAGGGAAACGAACTTTTGGCCGGGGTAGGTGGCCTTGACGGTGGACGCCTTCTCTTCGATGGTGGCCCTGTAACCAACACCAACCATACTCAAGACACAGACGTGGCCTTCGGAGACACCGAGGATGTGGTTCTGGAGGAGTGCGCGGATGGTTCCTAGGTAGAAAAGCAAAATGTTAGACAATGACTTGCCGGACTAGACTGCGGAGAAAAGACAGGAGAACATACCCCACATGGCACGCTGGTGAGGGACCTCCTGATCCAAGATTGACAAAGTGGCCTTCTGGCCAGTCTCATCGGGGGTGATAGTGAGGAACGAGGGAATGTTCAGACTCATCTCGCCTGTGAATCGGACGAGTTAGCATCCATCGGCCGGAACACATTTCAAGAATAACACATTACCCTTAGGCCCCTTAATCTCAGCCATAAACTTGGGAATATCCTTTCCGCGTGTCCGCGTGAGAGTCGCGGGGAGATCGATGAGCTTAAATGACACCTCCGGGGGGATGGAGAGAGGTGCACCTCCGACTCGGGACTGCGCCGGGGATGTGGTCGAGAAACATTGTGTGCGGGGGGAGAAGGCGGGTGCGAGGAAGATGGGTAGAGAGCCGCGCTGGAAGGGCTCTCGAAGAAGCTGGCGGGCACAGCGTTGGGGTATGGAGCACGACATGGTGATTTGCGCGTGTTGGGTCGGATGCTGTGTTGCGGACTTTGGATTTTGTCGCAGATGGTTTGCCCCTAATGGGGTTTAGCGTGCACGTGATGATCTATATAATCTGCTTTTTTTGGTTTGTTTTGATTATCATGATCTCGACGTGATTGATTATGCTCCTCACCACAGGGACACAATATTCCAATATATTGCGTTAATAAATCGATTTAGTATTAGAGCTTCCTTCCGGATGCGTCTATAGCCAAAGATTGCTAAACTAATGCCCATAAATCCGAATTCAATGCCCATTCTCATTTTGCCTCGAACGCAACCTAAGTGAAGGAAAAACGACAAAATAACACAATGTGTCCTAAATCACACCATATATGCCTTCAGAAACCAAAATATTTTGGGCTAACACAGATCAAACTCCATACTCCGAATCTTACCGCCAAGCCAGCATCAACATCAAACTCGTTCCCAATGAACTTTTCCTCGGTGTTCAGTCATGTTATCCTTTCGATTGAAAGACATTTCACACGACGGACAATCGAATGAGCGTGGAGATATATGCTGCGTTTCGATATGACGCATCAACGCTGGTTTTCCGCAGAACGGATCGCGGTATGTGCAGTCCTTCCAATGACATTCAAAAGATCGTTGGATTTTCCTGAAGTGGACGAAATGGTATCAGTAACTATTGAAGCTTGACGGCGAATCATAGGGTTGCTCACTCCTGCTTCTGTTGTCTTCCTCGGCTACGACCATAAGCTCTCTTTCCCTTCGTATAGCTATCGCTGGTGGCCTTGACCTGGGATCCCTTTTGAGGAGACCAAGTAGATACCGGCAAAGTGGTGCAAGCGACCCCGTGATTAGGGTCGAGATAGCCTGGCGCCGGGGCCATAGCTGCACAGTCATTGTTGATTGGAGATTGGTGTATAACATTCTGCTTGAAGCGACACAGGTCGGAACAAGTCGAGTGTAAGGAAGTAGATACGGGGAAACCCGGTGCAACGGATGCAATGGGATACTGTATGGGATGGGTATATCGAAGAGGACCCGCAGATGCCATAGATGGCTCAGCCAGTATAGGGGTAGATAATTGATAGGCAAGAGGGACGAATTGGGAATAGTTCAAGTCCTCAATAGTCCAGTCATAGCCATCTGGCACTTGTAGATGATCAAAACGGATGTTGCCAGGCGATGCCATACTAGATGACTATATAATTGATAGAAGAACATGTAATCAAAATGAAGAGAGGCCAGGAAATCAACCAAATTGACTACTTGATCTGAAGTAGAGGAAAAGTTCGTTTAAATGACTATCCTTCATGTGAGATATCCCAGTCGGGGTACGTTGAGCCGCCAAATATGGACACTGATGTTCACACTAACCCTTTTTAAGGTACTCTGAGCCCCCACGAGATCCATGGATGTACAAAGGATCATAGGTACATACCTAGGTACCTACATACCTTATGTACATGTATGTAGGTAGGTGTATTTGATAATAATTGCCAAGATCTTCCCTGAAGGGTATCTCTCAGAATGCCAGCACACCTTATTTAACTTGAAATCCTATAGGGCATCTGAAATCGCCCTCCAACTCCTAATTTAACAACCGTATTAGTACTTGAATAATAGAAAGTTTTACCAAAGAATTACCATATGAGCAAAAAACTGAGTGCCGAGGGGAAATTATCTAGGAAAAAGTAAAGCCAGAGTTGTGTGTGAGCCCAACAACTTGGATGTCAAGTCTCACTTTCGAAAGTCATCCTTCATCCATTTCTTTCCATCTTATACTGCTCTTGCCACATATCCTCTTATACCCATTCATCCTAGACAATATACACGAGTGATTAAGAATCAGGGCCCGTCAGAGCAACACTCGTAGACCAAGTCAGCCAGACCGTTCACCATGAGGGCAATCGATAGCTTTCAAGTGCTTTCATATACCTTCCTGGCATTTGCACACCTCAGTCAAGCAAATGTCTCTCAGCGCAGTAAGGGATTCAGATGTGTCTGATATCATTCTGCTAACCAAAAAAGGTGTCCCAATTCTCGCGCCGAAAGCACCAGACATCGACGCCATCTCTTTTGTCAATTCCCGATCGCAAGACCAAGACAGCATCTTCAACGAAGCTGTCAGAATCTTAGACTCGATGAAATCATCACCCTCATGCAACAGACTTGCAGCAACAAAACTAGTGAATTCATGTCAAACATTCAGCGATGGCAAAGACAGCGCGCAGACAGACAGCCCAGACACGCTCGACCTTCTTCGATCCGTCTATGCCGCACGTCTGGCATTGTGTGAGATCGACGGTGCTGGCACTCCAATGCCTCCATCATGTCTTCCAATCACTGTGTCGCCGCCTTCACAGAAGAATCGATTCGGATTTGTGAGTCGTCACAGAGGCTCTGGCCCTGCGTCGGATGAAGTCTCGAAAGAATTATTGGAGCAATGTCTGAAGACGCTCGAGTCGCGACCTCAGTGGTGGACCTCTTACAGCAACAGTCGACAGAATGCCCTTGTCATTTGCCATGCTTCGCGAATGGAAACAGAAAAAGAGGAGCTTATTGACCTGCATCACTCCATTGCCAAGAGCAGTCTCAAACTCAACAACGGGCTTCAAGACGCTTTGCAAGATGCATCTGCACGGTCTGCAGAGCAGCAATCATTTATACAAGCTGTTCAGTCTATGCAAGAGAAGATCGTGGCAGATATGGAAGCGACAGACTCTGTGTTCAAACGAACATTGGGCAATTTTCTTCGAGAAATCGAAGCTGGGATATTTTCTCTCCAAGACTCTATATCTGTCGCTTTGTCAAATGTGCGGACTGGAACAAGGGCCCTCGAAAAGGTAAGAGTCGAACACACCATGCTATTCGGAGTTGAAACATGTACTAAATGTCGATTAGGACATCCGGAACGTATCGACCCAAGTGGCAACACTTCAACACGCTCTAGAGAGTGCACATCAAGATGCAATGGCTAGAAGCCAAGAGACGTTGGATGTCCAAGAAACCAATGCTATCGCTCAGAAGGATCTCGCCTCTTCTTTACACCTGTCGCTCGAGTCGGTTCTTGACTCAGATATGGACAGAATATACCGAGGCATGCAGAAGTTTGATGCTGCTATGGTTTGCCAAATATGAACTTCTCTTTTGGTGGATTCTGTGAGACTAACATTTTATCCCTTTTCGTAGGAATGGCTGACCAGCCGAATGAACATGATTCTCGAGCAAGAAACCAGGATGACAGAGGTATGTGTACATCTTCCACATCTTGATTCACTCACTGACCTTCAAAGCGACTTCAAAACATGGAAACATTTATGCAACAATCCGAATCGAAAGCAAGCGAGCTGCAGAAGGCCCAGGACCAACAAACAGAAGCACTATCTGCACAATCCCGGGCCCAGGAAGCCATTCAATCCCACGCGCAAGTATCGCAAGCGTTGCTGGCCAAGACTAGCGTTGCTGCTGCCAATTTGCAATCTGTTATCGACGATGCAGCTTTCAAGTCCAAGCACCTCCCGAGCTTTGGTATTGGAGGACCCTCCGCGTGGTCTTTCTGTGCCGTCCTACTGATGGTCATCGCTGCCCAGAACCTTAAGATTGGAATCGCTTTATTTTTTCTTATCTTAGGTACGTGTGTCGGTTATTGTCAAGACTGATTGGTGCTGATACGATGTGGCTTAGGGCATTCTGTTGCCTTGACTATTTTCAAATTTCTTTAGTTATACACATCCTACACAGTGACTTGCGAACTTGATATCATTGATACCCCGGCGCTATTTTTTTTTTGCTTATTTTCTATTTTTCTATCTTTTTTCTTTTCTATCTTTGCCATTTATGCTTGCATCGCCTATGCTTCGGGATTCATTCACTACATCTAGATCTATAGCAAAGGAACAATCCTTCCATTGAATTAATCCGAACTACGTATCTCCCCTTTCTGCTAATGGTATGAAACGGCGATAGAGTGTTTTGGAAGAAAAATAAAATGAAAGTGTAAACCACTTAGCGCCAACACAGCCACAATAGCTGTCACAGGTTAGGATAAGCTGCGGGATAGGACCCAATTATATCACCAACAGCCAATAAAAGCCCGTCGTCCACGCATCGGAAACAACAGACGGAGTACGAAGGTTCAAAAAATAGGCACATAGTCACGTGGGACTAAATAGACTACTTCTCCTTTTCGATTCGCATCTCAGATCTTGATTCACATACATCCTCAAACCTCTTTATAACCAGAGAACTCAAACTCGATCAAAATGCCTGGTGTTCGTGAGTGATCCCAACCATCCCCTATACTCCTGACCCAACATTCGGCGCTCCCCCGGAACCACAAGTACACGCTAACAACCCCCAGCTCCCGACGCTCTTGAGCAGGTGAAGAAGGGCTTCAAGCGCTTCTTCAGCAGTCGCAAGAAGGCAACTAAGAAGCAACCCGCCCAGAACGCTGAACCTGCCCCTGCGGCGACCACAGCTGCCCCCGTCGCTGCTGCCCCCGTTGCCGCTGTGGCAAGTGAGACAGCTCCCGCGAAGCCCACCGCCCCCGCTGCCACCCCGGACTCTGCCCCCGGTATGACACTCTCTTATCGATTTGATATCAATTTCATCTCGCTGCGGCCCACAACTGACTTATTGATCTACTATAGATGCTACTAAGGCACCTGAGGCACAGGACGCGACCCCTGCGGCCCCTGTCGCCCCTGGGATGACCGCTACTGCCGGCCCCGTCGAGACTCATTACGAGGCTGCCCCTGCTGCTGCTGAGCCTGCACCTGTTGCTAAGCCCGAGGAGCCTGCCACCAAGACAGAGGCTCCTGCTGCTGCGCCGGCGCCTGTCGCGCCTGCACCCGCTGTGCAGTCTGAGGCCCCTGCTACTAAGACTGAGGAGCCCGTTACCAAGACCGAGGCCCCTGCCGCTCAGCCCGAGGAGGCTGCTGTCAAGCCCGAGGAGCCTGTCGCTAAGACCGAGGCCCCTGCTACCGCGGAATCCGCTGCTGCCCCTGTGGAACCTCCCAAGACCGGTATGTCAATTGTCTTTAACATGACAGATGATAACGCTAACAGCGATGCTAGATGCCCCCGCTAAATAGAAGTGTGACTATACACTCGATTGGCGAGAACAGGTTCTTTCTTTGCGAGTCTGATCTAACTTGCGAGTGCTTTCTTCCGGCTCCCTATTTCGTTTCATACCCTCAGCGTTGTATATTATTCATTTCTGCGAAGCGATGCATTGCATGCTTTTTTTTTCATATCGGCCTCGATCGGACCGCTTAATATCATGCAAAGCTCTACTTATCCATTCCAGAATGCTTACGCAACAGTAAAACAGCTTTATTTCGATATATTATGCTATTGTTGCTGACGGCAAAGGGGAAAAAACTAACACTCCCACGGGTATCACATTAGAGAATCTATCCTGGTGTTAAATAGTTTCATTCCTCCCCGCCCGAGGAATGATCATCACCATCAGCCATAACGACATCTTCAACACTGACACCCGCCGCCGCAGCCTTCTGCTCTCTCGCCTTCTGTCTGCGCTTGAGTTTCCTATCGCGGTTCTTGCGAGTCCGCTTCTCCGCTTCATTCTCTTTAGCAGCCTGAGCGGCCGCAACCCGCTTGCGCAGCTGCACTCGCCGTTTCTTGCCTGGCTTCTTGCGTGTAAGTGGACTCTTCGAGACAGGTGCACCTTCTACCACGTAGACGGGAAGACTGTTGACTGGGCGTGGCATTTTGGTCTGATGGCGTTTGAGATGGATGACTCGCCAGGGGAGATGGCAACCAGGCTATAAATTAAGTTAGCAGCTATAAAAATAGCCAAATTCCAAATAAGTATTCACTCACCCAGACTAGCGTGTTGGCCCATGTCAGCATGTGTTGTCCGCTAACGGCCATATCCTCAAATTGTTTCTTCTTTTCCGCTATTTGAGCCTCGTCTTCGGCGGTAGGTTCTCCACTGCTGCCTTGGAGAGAAGGTGTAGAGAAGTAATAATCCCACCCCCGGGAGGCTTTCACGAATCGTCCCTCGCCGCCGGATCCTGGTGTAGGTGAATGCAGCCGAATCATCAATTTTTGCGTAGTGGGCCCGGGCTTTTCCTCTGTGCTTTTCTCATCTGTATCCTTTCCTGACTGCTTGGTGGTATCTTCGGTTGATTTGGCGGGGGCGCTGAATAGTCGGAACTCGAATTCTTGTTCCTCATCCTCGTCCTCCACAAGCTGGTCGTCTTGGCTGGCTGTCTGCTGTGCAGTATCCAGTTGATCAAGATTCAGTAGCTTTCCTAGGCGGGCATATGCATCCTGGGCGGCCGCGTCGTCTGGTGCTGGTGATGGCGAGCGGGATGACGCTGGAGAACGCATCTCATCGCGGCGGACGCTGCATAAGCCAGATTAGCTTTTATGTATATTAAAATAGGCCTCCGTGTGTTTCTTGTCCACATACCGCTTAGCATTTGGTAGATCAAACATGGTGTTGTGTGTGGTGTGGAGAGGAATAAGACCAAAATGCCAAACCGAGAAAAACGATGTTTCCACGGCGCACTGCGGCCACGGCCTAATGACATGGCACGGGCCGCCCAGCCTCAACCTCCAACTTCGAAGAAGTCCTTTTGTCTACAGTGTGACTCTCTACTGCGCCATTTGTTTCATTTCATATTCTCTGTTTTCTGCATATTCCACATTCCTTACCCTCCGATAATTCTCTCGCCTTCTCTAACAAAGGATACCCGCATCTCAACTATTGGGGTGATTAATGCCTCGTGCCTATCGCATAGCGCAAACGTGCAGCCAAGAACATCTCCCGTTCTGAATTCCTGATCCAGATCCTCATAAATGGGTATCTGTGCCTCCTGCCTTGGCGGGAATCGCCATGAGTCGCCTGAGGTGAGTCCCGAGTCTGGAGCTAGGTTCACCATCACATGTTCAGCGCGCATTACCTCAGTCTGATGCGCGAGGCATGGGATGCTTTCAGAGAGTGCAATTGTTTAACCTTTCTTCTTCCAGCCTGAATCTGCGCGTCTACTTGAAGAGGACCCTTATCAAGCCGGGTATGGTTACGGAGCACTTAACCATGCTCATCAGGCAAGCCAGCCGGATTCGGAATACGTGAGACGTGAGAGGGAGGCGCTGGAATCCATTTGTCAGCGAACATCTGAGTGAGTATACTATACTATTTGCCATGTGTACTAGCATATGATAAATTGGCATCAGATGGGAGCTGAATTTACGCTAATCATCTCCCTTTCAGCTCCGTCATTGATATCTGGTCCCTCCAACCACAACCACACCTTCGACCCCAAGCAACCCTCCACACTCCTATCTCTGCATCTCCCGTTCCATCACACAGAACCGATAGAACAACACCCGTGGTATCTACCCCGCGCACATCACCACCAAGCCGCCCCACATCCGGCGCATCAGGCACCGTCCCAAAACACTGGGGTGAGGTTGTCATAAACCCGAACAAGAAACGGTCTCGTGTCGATATCAACACAGATGCTAAGGCCAGCCATGATGTGTTTGGGGTTCTGAACGTGACCTAAAGGCGTTTGGGGTATGCATCGCTGCACATTGACGATGACGCTGTACACGACAAAAGAGGGTGAGGGCTATGAGGATTACATCAAGAGATGCAGATAAGGGTACTGGAAGACCCGTTTTTTTCATTATTTTCTCGCGCTGTGCTGTTATTTGAGGGATTTTTGTTTCTTGCATGGATCGCAGGTCGACTGTTTTTTCGCACATACATTAGCCATTCCTTCTTTTCCCTCCATGGTCTGATAATACCCAATGGCGCAGACTTTTTCTTTTGTTATCAGAACCTTTTTTTCTCTTCATCCCATGTTGGTTTCTTCGATGTTTTCTGTTGGCGTGTTTTGTTTCTGAGTTTGTTTCTTTGTCTTCATATCATCTTGTCAGTCGTACACTGCTTGTATATGTATTTTTCTTTTTGAGTACCGGACTTCATCCTTTATTTTAGTATAGACACACAATTTGAATTCCGTATTGTCATTTGAGTTGCCGTAAATCAGGACGATGTACATAGGTGCTGAAACTCCCAATCCTTCTAGGGAGATGTAATCGTAGTCGAGTCGACCCATATAGAAGTTCGGCTTTGGATGGGATACCCTATATGAAAAGTATTTCGAGCTCACTATACAATTGTGGTATCATGGGAAGATTTAAAAATGAATATCACTCCCCATACATATGAGAGATTCGGCATCAATTATTCAACCCATGACTCCGCCGGTAATTACCGCAAATGCCTCTTGAGTTGACCGAAATAGATAAGAAAACGCAAGTGAAAAAGATAAAGATAGACATTGCCGGGGTAAAAAAGAAATGCATACATGACAACTCCCCTATGTCAGAAAAGAAAACGCCCGCTGATATCCAGCACCGTGATGAATATTGAAGAGAGTAGAATGATGCAATATGTTCGTGCCGGGGTCAATCCTGAGCCCGACGGAAACCTTCGCATGCAGACCATTAGACATCGTCCATGGTACCTGCAGGCTCTTCGCCGCCAGATTCGTAGCTTCCCGCAGAACTGAGCTCATCTTCAGACTCGGTGTCCTCGCCTGCTTCATCAACGGCCTCCTTGCTAGCGTATTTGGCAACGTATTCTAGAAATGAGCTGTCAGTATCGCATGATAGCAAATTTTCTTTTTATTGTGACACACCTTTGACCTTTGCTTCGTATGCCTTAGGTTCCCGCATCATCAGCGCGGCTGCCTCCCCGTTGAGAGGGTCCGAAGGGTTGGGGTAACGGAGAAGCTGGGGAAGGAAGACCTCGAAAATGTTGAGCATGTCGTACATTGGCGACCAGGTTTGGTTGATCACATCGAGGCAGACGGAGCCGGACCTAGAACGGATGGTATTAACCTCTGACTCTCCACACATGTCAGACCAACCATCACTCACAGCTCATCGATATTCGGGTGAAAGATTCTGTTAACAAATCCGATGCTTGGGCTCTTGTATGGGTACTGATCAGGCAATTCGACGTGGATTTTCCAGAGGCCTCCGGTGAAAGGTGCTAAGAGAGTTAGCATGATGTAATATCGGCTGATTGTGAGCGACACATACTCTCTTCCGGGCCCTTGAACCGAACGTAGAATTCTTGCCTGTTGATAGTAGTTGGTATCGGAGAGCTTCAAATGGTTCAAACGTTGTTGTAGGGTGTATGAATACATACACTAGATTTCCAAAGTCAGTATATAGATCCATAGCCGAAACAGGGTCGGAACTTACTGTTGTCATTGACCAGAGTCACCTCATAGTCACTCATCATCCTAGATATACCGTCAGATTATTTCCCGGCAACCAAATATGCCCACCGAGGCCAACCGAAAAGGTTGGGAAAAGCGGCGGAAAGGGCAGGGGGATTGTCGGTCGTACATTCTAGCTAAAGGTTAGTGGCCGTAAATTTTGGATACATTCGGACTTTGCGGAGCATACTTCATGACCTGTATAGTGAAAAACAATCGTTATTAGTACTCCGACGACGCTGGGGGGCTTATCGGACTATCCGTAGCGTTACTCACATCAGTCTCGATTCTGCGCTTTGGGCTACTCATGTTGGCGGGTTGGATAGCGACGGCGAATTTTGATTTCGGAGGTATTGTCGGCTGGGGGCCCTTTCAGTGAAATCAGACCCAGCAGTGTCAAAACGCGGTGATTCACTAGAGCAGATATTCCCGGAACCGGAGCGGGGAAGTAATAGGCGGGGCAGACAATGGACTTTGAAATAAAAGTTCAGTACTGAAAGAACCAGTGATTAATAGCTAGAAAAGGGGCAGACCAACAAATATTAGAGAAGGACTCACTTCTCGGACCTGAGTAAACGAGACAAGAGGAGAATCCAGACTCTTGGATTAGATCGGGCATGATGAGTCGATGACTCAGCGCCGAGGCCGCCATGACGACTGGTATAGGTGGGTCCATATATGTAGATCCATGCGCCTGATAGAACTAAGAATATTCGCTCATCTCGCCATAGTATTGCGAAGGATAGACATCTATACGGCAATTTAGCTATAAGCACCATTGAGCTTTAGGTATGTGTCTATAGACTGCTAGTTCGTGAGGCCATGCTACTATTTTGATTGTATTTTCGACATATATGCACGACAAAGAGTCCGGGAGGCTTAATGTCGACTAGTGAAGAAATGTTTGTTTGTTTTGATCATTCGGTTTAAATGTAATCTTTGCTTTTTGGACCAAAAGTGTACGTGAATTGAAAATGAATATCTCATTCTGCTCTGTTAGTATCCTCCACTTAGGTTAGACGGGGTCACGTGGGCATGATGCCGGCAGCCCACTATGTAGCAGTAACACTGGATTTTAGGCCGCTGATGTGAATCTTAGGCTGTGCCATAACTCACTATTAGGTTGAGCCTTTGTGGTTTGGGGTCTAAATCCAAGCTACTTCGTTGCCCCCCATCAATGCTCTGATAGACGAGAGTCACGAGACGATACAAGGAAGTTGAAGGAAACCTAGACCATACAAGAGCTACCTCACGATTTAAGAGCCTAGATTATGGTCGAGGTCAGGGCCTCCCATGTCGTACTAGTATAGTAGCATATGGATAACAGTGACCATAAGACTGAAGTTTCACGATACATACATAGTATAAGTTTCATTCTGATAGGCTAGTAAAATTCGGAAGTAACGAGAGATAGTACAGGATACACTCTGAATAAACTTTGGGATATAATATAGTAGGAATTTCTGATGTTGCACTATGTTGATTAGTGGAAAAAATTACATTTCATCAATCTCAGGCTCTCGCTCCTCTCCAGCAGGATCCGGCTTCTTCGGAGCGGGCTTGTCTGTCTTCTTCGCACTCTTGAAGGGCTGCGGCGGCTTTCCTTGAATACTTTCGTATATCTCGTAGATGTTCTGATCATTGATTTGTCAGTGGCGTGACGTTATGTGAAACGTTTGATAATGTACGAACGGGGTGGTCAGCGTCCTTAATCCCCTGCTCCCGGTTTCGCTTCTCAAGAATCTCAGACTTCAAAGGTGAGTCTTCAAAGTCATCTGGGAATGCCGGTGCGACATTAACTAGGACCGGATTGTATCAGCTCCTGTCGAGACTTTGGCTTTATAGAGATGCTGGTCGCACATTTCTCGTCACCCTTAATTTCAGACTGGGCCTTTTGTGCGAAAGCTCGAGTCAGCCTAGGGACGTAAGAGGTAGAAGACCTCACGATATATCGCTGCATATTGGTTCATTTACTAGTGGTTGCAAAAGATATGACTGTTACAATAATTATCAAAGCCTGAACGGTCGCTGTTTTTAAGCCAGCTAAGATATATTCTGGGGTTAGATCATGATGTCAACCCTAACACTCTCGCCACCGATACAAAGTACCAGCAAATCAATTGAGAAGTGCGATTCTCGAAATGAAAATGATGACACAAGTCAGAACTCGTGATCCATGACGTTGGTTGGGTCCGTCGCCACATATTTTTGCGGAGTAACGATTGAGCTTAGCGGATACATTCAAAATCTTTGTATTATGAAAACACATGCGAAGCAAAGCGGCCATCTCTCACTAATAACTTATGCAAATGCCTGCCCACTCACTGACTTGAATCTTCAATCAGTTCGACCGAATGTACATCGTAGCGCTTTTCGGCAAGATAACCAATATCCATCATTCTCACTCACAAGTGAATGATCTCGTGGTTGACTACCGATTTGTGATCGCAAACTACAACCCAACTGGTTATGTCGCTAAGGGTTCAATTATAACTTGAATTATATAATTTGGATGGCGGTTGATTGAGGTGCACATATCATAGTCATGAGTGGCCAAGAATGGGGATACATCAGATATATTTGAATCCACGGAAATTCCGAAAGATCTTGTAGGCTCCATGCAGTGTCGCACACATACCACCACCCGCAGTAGCCCAGGCAGCGCCCTGGAAGCGCAAGGAGTTGATCGGTATATGCCTCCGATTCTTTGATGGGCCTTTCCGTCATCCACTTAGCTGACTGCATAACGAGACCGTGCTGGGAATATTGCAAGGAGATATTGCATACCAACGGGTGCAGGCCATGATCGTCTTGGTAGTCTCCCGACCTGTTGATCAAGGAGTGTTTGGAAATCATTCATTGATGACATTTTTCACTTTTGAATATAACAGTAGTTTCTTGGGTGCTTGATGGTCTTAACTTTTCTTTCCAATCCTCGCGAATTCACGTATTTATATATCCTTTGATATATTCACAAGTAGCGATTGGCACTCAATGATTTTACCTAATGTGCATCATCTGATATACTACCTACAAACAGTGGTTCTGGGAATCTGTTCGTTATAATTCGCTTTCTCACTCGGGATCCGCGGTTGATTATGGGCTTGATATCTGGATGTGGACCACACCCCATATTGTGGCAAATCTATATAGTTAAGCTGGGATTGTCCCTATCAAATCCCTAATTCTCCTCGAACGAAGCTCCCGCTTCTATAAGTACCTGGAACCCTTTTCTCGGCCGAATATTAGTGAATGCCAGATGATGCATCGAAGCAGAACAATGTGAGAAAATCCACATAATTTAGCTAAAAGCACTTCTCCCCTCAGTGGTCCAGTCTAGCCTTTATTGTCAGATTTTTGGTACGCACGTTAAGCTGAGTCACTCGCCTTTTCCCCTATTCTCTATTATTTAAGCATTTACAAAGTCTGCCTCGATCCGTTAGTCCTAGCTTGGGAGACAAACCATTATTCAGTAGACAACAGCCACGTGAACTTAGTGAGAAAATCAGAGCCCTCACCTGGACAGGTCATGCTCAGTGAGCGAGTAGTAATGATTTATGTAATAATACCCAGGGATGTCCCCAGTTTACGGGCGACTAAATGTGCCACCTGGACATAACTCTCTTATTGGATACTGCCTGACCAGAAGTATAGATGCCATTTCCATTTCCATTTATATTTGTATACTATTTCGTAACAAAGGAGGTGTCTAAGAAGTCAAAGCCCGAGAAGCCAAGGAAGGGTAGGGTGTTAGAGTATATAGTACACTAGTTTAAAACTATGAACTATGTAGGGTTAATACTACTTCTTACCTGGTCTTTTTACTCCTAACCCTAGAAAGTGAGAATAATCCAATGAAAGAGTTGAGTCCAGGTGGCACACTTGATCGCCCGTACCCAGTTGCTCATGTGTACTTGTTCAAAAGGCGGCAAGGGGTAAGCACTAAAACGGAAAGGAAAGCCATCTCCCGAGGTCTAAAATCCGATATCTATGTAGCTGTATGCACTGGATTTTAGGCCGCGGATGCGAATTTTTGTCAGCTCTAAGACGGAATGGACCTACTATGCCTAATCGGGCAAAGTGACGTGAGCCACCTACATGTAGTTTTATGGTTGCAATTATTATTTCCTATACAATCACCGGACATCCAAACTATCATTTCACTCAATTTCTAATATCCGTCCTCTATACCTTAAGTGATCACCTTCATCGAACTACCATCACTCTCGTTACTCACAACTACCCGGCTATCACTCCACCTTCGTTTTCCACTTGTTCAGTCAACTCAAAGTTCGCCTCCATCTGCGCGAGCTAAACATCTCCTCCAACATGCAGTGGGTCCTCAATATTTGCTCTTCAGTGGTATCTCGATCATGGGGAAGGCGTACTCCACCTTCTGAGATTCCCAAGATGAATACGCTAGCCGGTCTCCCTGTAGAGCTATTGTTATCAATAACCGACTTCCTCCCTCTGAATGATCGTATTTGCATTTCAATCTGCAGTCGCCGACTCTTTGCCATATTCTACCATCGAATCAATCCCGCTCGGCCATTAGGAAAAGACAAACTGCCTGTTTTACGCCGACTGGAACGAGATCTACCGAAATTCTTCGTTTGCTATATTTGCCATATCTTTCATAAGTATGATGGTTCGGAATGCTTTGATCTATCTGGCTCGATATACCACTAGAATAAATGTCCTCTTCGATGCCTCCCAAAATGGAAAATACATGGCTCGTATTTAGAATTGAGAGATCAAACACCGATCTGGTCCCATGTCCACCATATTTTCTACTTTCTCCATCTTCAGCTTGCTATGAGGAGATTCTACTGTGGTGAAAAGTTTGGAATCAGCACTGAAGCGTTATCTTACACCCAAGTTCGCACCCACCCCGGACCATCATCGTGCCCTGAAATCACCTCTCTCTTTTCGACCGATGCACAGATCTGTCCAAAGACACCGGGACTTTGTTTAAGATTCTAGCATGTGATGTTCGTTCACGGTAGGAAACCGGAACTACTTCTTTCTCGGCAGGATGTTGAATTTGCGGCGGAACCTCCACAAATTATGTTTATTTACATACACGTCTCGTATCGGAGACATGCCAGATTACTTGATACCGTGATGAAAGCCTATATCAATGGAGAGAAAACTCCCAGTTCCACTCATACTTGCAAAATATGCACCGCAGAGTCTCGTATCGAAGTTTGTGAATATGGAGCTGATTTGGCTCTGGTTCTTACAACATGGATTAATCTTGGCCCTGGTTTGACCCCAGATGACCCTCTATGGATAGTCCATTGCTGTAGTTGGGAGTACAATAGAGTGACACTCGATTCAAGTCATCGGAAAGACAGTCCGCGGGTCTGTTTTGAAAATGTGTCGCCTCGGTCGTTAGAGGCCTTGCAGTCATGCAACCTTTCCTACCTTAAGGACCAGCGATATAAGCAGGTTATGCATCAAATCAATTGGAGGGGAAGGGTCTGGCATCTACCAACTCAAAGTTCTTGGGGAGGTTACTGGTTTATGCCCTAAGGGTTAGCTGTCGAAACCAAGGCTACCCGAATCTGTTCCCCTCGCTCTTGCTTTGGCGGTATTGGGGGGTATTGCGATGTTCTACAGGATTATGGAGACACTCTATGCACTATAGTAAACACCTCTTGATTCTTGCTGGTTCCACCTTTGTTATTCAGTATCACATTCCACCAACAAGCCATTAAGAGACAAACTTGCAGACCAGCGCTTCGATCTCCATCCCCCTTCTCTTGATTGCTACATGTTATGAACCATGCAAATGTGCGCCGAGACCCACGGGGGCTTGCAGGGCTAGTCCAGCATGCCTACGGGCGACTAAGTGTCCACCTGGACACAACTCTTTCCTTGGATTATATTGCGATGTAGTAATTTAGTCATCCACACTCACTTTCTAGGGTCAGGAGTAAGTAAAGTCTCTAGTGAAAATTCTATTAACTTGTTTACCATATGTACACTCTAAGTGTATTTAATTATCTCATAATTATATGCTCTACAGTAATTCCATACTACAAACTAGTTTTGTTTCTTTTTAGAAAGAAAACACAAAAGCGTAAGTAGTATAAAAGGCCAGTAGAAAGACCAGTAGAAAGACTACATACCTGGTCTGCTAAGGGAGCCTGTTATTTGTGTATGATCTGCATGTAGCCTGGCTTTCTCATTAATCAAAATTTAGGAAATTTAGTCCAAGCCCATGCGAGCAGATTTTGTTAATGCTTGGTGGTCGGATGGAGTGGAAGCGATTGGTTAAAAAAGAGGCTATAGTGGAGCTGTTGCCTAAGGTTGCCTAAGGGTGCCTGGACGCTAACGCTAAGTGGATATCAACGGCATGACCCCCTAAACATTGGCCTCTTTGAGTTGTATATAAATCTTAGCGGTTCTCTCCTGACTTTGCCATTCAATTGATATACTATCACAGCATTTTTATTATATCTGCCCAATTGACAACATGCCTTCTTCGCCCTCCCTCCCAGTGAAGCATAACGACTTTGTGAAGTATGTCAACTCCAACCCGGAGAAGCTCATGAGCGACTTGGTTCAGCCATATAACGAGTATGATGCTGTGTTGCGCAAGAAATTTGCTCAAGATCCATCTCACGCATCAATCCAAGATAACTATGTCAACGTTGTGCCGCTGTACGACCATAACGGTTCCACAGATCTTTCCATTCGGGCTCGGGACCTTGCCTCAGAAACGCCAGAGCGAACAGAGAAGTATCTGTTGCCCCTGAGTGAGAAAGACCGAAAGCAACATGGCGCCCGAGCAGTTGTACCCTCTCTGAATGAGTTCCAGAACAACTTTGCACTCTTCACAGAGGGCTCATTGAGTGAAATTGACTGGTCCAACGTTGTTGCTGCTGGCAGCGCTGTTGTGACCTCTCTTTTGCCTGTACCAGAGAAGTATCGAAACTCCAAGCGTGGCCTTCGCAAGTACTATCATGAAGAGTTTGCTCCGGCGTCAGATGTGGATCTCTTCTTGTATGGTCTGAACGAGGAGCAAGCTCTCGAGAAGATCATGCACATCGAGGACAAGATCAAGAACGCTATCCTCTATGAGACCACGACAATCCGGACCAAGAATACAATTACAATTGTTTCTCAGTATCCGACCCGCCATGTGCAAATCGTGCTTCGCATCTACCGCTCAGTCGCTGAGATTCTCACCGGCTTTGACGTGGATGTTTCGTGCGCGGCTTATGATGGTCACCAGGTCTATACCTCTCCACGTGCAATTGCAGCATACATTACACAAGTGAATCAGATTGATCTGACTCGACGATCACCATCATATGAGAATCGTCTCTCCAAGTATTCGCGCCGTGGATTCGAGGTTTTCTGGCCTGCTCTTGACAGATCAAAGGTTGATCCGGTGAGAATTGAGTTCTTAGATATGGATGAAATTTCAGCGAAACTAATTTCGCAATAGACTATATTCGAGAGAAGCTTTACCAGAACCGAAGGACTTGCACGACTTCTGGTATTGGAAAAGCTTCCCAAGTCTCAAGACCGGGACAACTATCTCCAAAAGAGGCGCGAGGAACGAGGTCGCCCTCCTTTAAGTTTATACATGCAACGTCGTCATGGAAAGATGTTGCATGGCAATATCAAGGACGACTGGGAAGATGAGGCGCCTGAATGGCAAGAGCAAGACCAGGCATCTGATTACCATACTTTTGTTCGTACCTTCACTGCAACTGACTTGCTATCACTTGACTCTTACTGACCCTGGGATAGACTATTCCTTACGGTCGGAGATTCAACGCCAGGAATATTGAGAAACTACTTTACACCAAAGATCTGTTGCTGAACGCCCAATGGAATCAGCCCAAAGAGCGTACAGTTTATCTTCATCGTCATCCAGCATTCTTCGGCGAAGCAGAACATGTTATTGGCGACTGCTGTGGCTTCTGCCCCAAGCCTGTTACCGAGGAAGAAGTCAAGCTTGCCGAAGAGGAGGCCAAGGTGTATATCTCTGGTCATGTTACTTTCATCAAAGATGATCCCGGTCGCCAGGAGATTGGAAGTTTCAATCCGATTACTGAGACTGATTGGACGGGTAAATGCACTTTCAGATATGTTTCTTTATTCCTGAATTATGCACTAATACGGACATGATAGAAATGGCTTACGTTGGCCGCACTGAGAGACTTTGCCAGGCAATCGTGGCAAATGATGTTGACTCTGTCAAAGCTTTCCTTGCAGAGGAGGGAACAAACCCGAACCGTCGTGACTACACTGGACGGACACCACTCCAACTCGCGTGCATGTGCTCGACCACTGAAATTGTACAATGTCTTGTTGATGGCGGCGCTCGCATGATTCCCCGTATGGCCGATGGAAAGACCGCGCTCCATCTTGCCGCCGCCCGGGGACACGTCGAGATCATTCGAATTCTACTCACAAAGAGCAACGAGAACGAGGAAGAGGAAGCCAAGAAGCAGGATGCTCTGAAAAAGAACGACAAGTCAGAGACTAAGCCTACCACAGATGAGGACGAAGATATTGATATGATTGACCAAGCTGACGCTATGTCTCACACCTCTGCCTCCTACGTCAAAGTCGACGCCGAAGAGAAGGAAGATCTGACTACGTACGATACACTCGAGGAGAACGATCTTGAGCCAGATGTCTACGACATCAATGTTGTTGCATGGGATAGCAGGACTGCTCCTTTGCATCTCGCCATTCTTCATGGTCACACCGAGGCCGTGAAAGAGCTTGTCACATCCTTCGGTGCCGATATTTTGATGCCAATCAAAATTATGAACGAGCACTACAGAACACCACAGGCTGCAATTCTCACCCTGGTTCTTATCCATGCCCTTCCATTCGAGAAAGCAAAGGAGATGTCCCAGACCCTTCTCGATCTCGGCGCTTCACCAGCCCAAGCAGACCTCAGCCAGAAGTCACCGCTATATTACATTGCTCATTCCGACAAGTTCGACCTTTTTGATATCTACATGCAGCATGATGAGCCGGCCGTAAAGCGGGCCATCAATCACTTGGCAGTTCAGGGCGGGTCCTGGAGACCGGAATTCTCCTCGGTCTTGATGGCCGCTATCACTGCGAGGAACGCTCCCGCAGCAGCTAAGCTGTTGGATACAGGTGCCCATAAGGAGATTGACCTCGGCAACCTTGTGAAGGTTATTACGGAATCTAGAGGTGGAACCCAGAGCTACTATGGCAGCGAACGCATTGAAGAAGATGCAAAGTCTAGTGTGAAGCAACCAATCTTGCTGGCTATTGAAAATGATCTCCCTCTGGTCGCAATTGATCTGCTTAATCGCGGCGTGAACCCCAACAGTCCTACTACCCAACTCAAGGGGAGATATCAAGACAAGGGTCAAACGGTATTAGACTTCATGCGCCAAACTTTGAAAACGCTCCGTGACTTCTTGGTCGAGCGCAAGTCTCAATGCTTTCATCATCCCATTCCAACTCCACTCAACTCAAATGACGAGACATATTTATCGGAGTTCCAATCTGGTAGTTACAAAGGGTTCACTGCAAAGGATCTGCTCCGCAACCTGCGCAAGAACAACCGAGAGGCCGAAGAACAAGCCAAAAAATGTGGAGCCAACGCTACTGATCCCACTGGCTTGGTCGAGAAGAAGGTGTTCATTGCGGATTTGATTCGCGACTATGAGAAGCTGGAGACCCTTCTGCTGGAAAAAGATGCAAAAACATGGGACGAGCTTCATCCTCCGCAGAACGTTCCCGTGACGTTCCCACACCAAGTTTCGACCGAGTGGACAAAGCCTACTACTGAGCCTTGGAAAGTCAACTTCAAATTTAATGTACCAGCTATTACTGACAATGCTCGCGACGGATACCTACAACTGTATGTATCCCCTCCTTAGCCCCACAACCCAAGATCGCTCTGCTGATAATGAATGATATAACAGCTTCGAAGCAGCCTGGAATGGCGACATTGATACCATCAAATCATTGACAATGGGCATGTGGGGACCTCTGAATGACCAAGCACCACTTGAGATTGCTGTGACCGACAAGCAAAACCTGTCTGCTCTTTCAATTTCCATCATGCGTGGCCATTTCGCCGTCGCTAGGGCCATTCTTCAAATTCTCCACGTCCAGTACAAGGTGAAGGAGCCTCAGGGTCAGAAGCGCTTCGAGATCGACGTCGAATGCTCTGATGACTCCGATGACTCAGATGGAGAGAACGAAGGACTTAACATTGTCAGTGAGATTGTCGATGATACCTTCACCTACGAAAACATCGGCGAAGTTACCAGTGATGTCAAGAGCAATACTTCCCCTCTTGCCGCTTTCGAGGCTCGGTTTAATGCCTTCTTGTTTTTGGACGAATACGAAGATGAGAGCTCTTGGGACAAGAGAGAAAAGCCTGTCAATGTTGACAGCTTTTTGAAATACGCCGTCTACACAAACAACATCTCTCTTTTGGAATTCCTTCTAAAAACTGGCCTGGATCTTGCTCGCACCAACCCAGCCAGACCGTGTGACTTTTCAGTAACGTTCGATGTGTTCCAGCTTGCAATTTCGCTCGGACGTACCGATTGTATTGCAAAGATGATTCAAAGTGCCGGAGCTGGCCTTCCGCTTACAAAATTGAGCGACGACTGTGGCGTTGAAGAGAAGATAGAGCCTGAGTACTACCCTGGGTTGTCAGTTCGTGGCACCAAGCGTGCCGATTGGGCTAATGCTGATCGGGGGGGGACCGATGAAAGCCCAGGGGCAGCGCCCTCCCCTTCTTGTCGCTGCCCGTCAGGGTAATCTGGCCGCTACAGAGTTCTTCCTTGGTACCGCGCCTGCTCGCTATTACATGGAGTATCTCAATGCAAATAAGGATGATGAGAGAGTCAAACGATTGACTCAGTCCAAGCTCGGACTCGAGGGAACACTCCTAAACTGGCTACAAGCGAAAAGTAAGTTTTCAACCGATCCAGGAATCCTGACAAACACAGCTGACCATATACAAGATAACCTCGTTCTCCACTGCGCAATCATGTCCGACCCAAGTGACGAAACTGTTCGTCTGGTTCAATACCTTGTCAACCATTATCCTGAATGCTTGGAGGTCCGATCGACAGAAGGACTGACGCCTCTCGCCTGGGCTATTTCTCTCCACAAGGTCCGCTTCGCCCGCATCTTGGTAGAAGCTGGAGCCAACCAGGCCGTCCGCGACAAAGAGGCGCGCAATCTCCTCCACTTGATCCTTGTATCAAACAGTGGTAGAGTCTGCAAGAACTCCCACCGATTCAACAAACTTCTAGGCCTACTAGATAGACAACTCATCCCAACAATGCTTATGGAACGCGCCGGTGATGGGTCAAGAACACCCTTTGCACGATGGCTTGACGCCTACCCTCACTTCACGCCAACAGATCCGGCCATCCCTCGGCTTCCTAACAGTGGCCAAACTGACGATGAGATGATAACCTCCATCACAAACCTCATTCTGGACCTAGCCAACCCCACAGACCAAAAGCATCTGGAGCTCTTTGACGAAGCTGGAAACACACCGGTGCATGAAGCTATCAAGAAGGGTTTCTCCCAAGTCCTTGGACTACTTCTCGATCGTCGTCCTGACATGCTCCATCGGGAGAATGCCACTGGTACAACTCCCCTTGAAATGGCTGTTGACGCTTGGGTCAACAAGAGTACTTCTGGACCACCTACTAGTCCTCCGGGATCGTCGCATAGCCACCCTGAGTGGCAAAATGCCGTTAATCGTGACCCCCGATTCTTCATTCCCGGTATTAGGATGAAGTACGACCAAGAGAAGGCTATGCTTCGGGTTTGTCGCGCACGGGCTCAGCAACGGCCTGCAAAGAGACGACTTGTCAGTCTGTTTGAGGCGAATGAGGTAGCGAAGAGATTGGCGGCGGCGGGACGGACTACTGGTCGGAATGGTGGCTCCGAAGATGATAATGAGTCTGTGGCTAATGATGAGCCTGAGGCGTGGGGAAGCGTGTTTGCTCATTGGTAGTTTGCTTGCATAGGGGATAGTAGTGTATTACAATGTTTCAAACTAAGTGGTCTTATTTGAATATATCCGAGCCGTATCCATTGCTTCATTCTCGTTTCCAGAGATCACTTATTCGTTATTGAGTATTCTTAGGACCTAATTTCTAATGTTCATACTGGAGCCAGACAAAGCAGATCTATGAAGGCATCGAGAGGCTACGGTGGAAGACTAGTAAACATAGACTCGTATCAAGAATTGAACCATCCTAGCCTTTGTCTAGTGTTCAGTGCTGCTCCGCAGCCGGCAGCGGAACCTTCACTGCACCCTCCGCCAGAGCCTTGTTCTGGCTATTCTTGCTAGCGATATACGAATTAATATACTCAGGCACTTCAGCGACCTTACTAGCACCGCTTGGAATCGGGGTTCCAAACGTTTCCCAGACCGGAACAACACCAGTCCAGACAGTGCTGGTAACCTGCTCGTTACCCGAGTCCTTACGCTCATCCGACACACCACCGTCACGAATCTTGCCGCTGCCATCCACGATCTTTACCCTTAGGATGACAGTCGACTGCATCTCAGCACGGTCCGGCGGCACACGCGAGTGATCCCAGCGGTCCTCGAGGACAGAATTCGTGATCAGTTTCATAGCCCATAGCTTTTCGTCCTCGTCTGTGACGAGGTTTGCGTAGCCGTGCAGGATGGCAGAGCGGTAATTATAGCTGTGCGAGTTCGGCGTGAGTGACAGGATCAGCCCGTCTATTTTGCTTGTTGCCACGCAGATGGGGAGTCCCTCGCCATCGCTGCAGCTGCGGGCCAGGTTCATAATTCGTGAGCTGACGTAGCCGTGAAGGTAGCACTCTAATGGCTCATCGATGCTTGCGGAGGGAAACTCAAATGATCCCATTTGTCCTATCATCGGTAGGATTGCCGGGAATGGGTCTTCCGGTCCTGGGTTGAAGGATACATGGAGAACTTGGGAGTCATTGATGATTGAATGGATTGCACCTAGATCATATGTGGCTAGGAATATAGTGTTGGTTAACTTCGGTGTATTTCGTATTTCTATAGTTATTTGTACCTCGATGCTTGTACCGGTTGGCGGTGTTGGAAACCTTCTTGGGGTAGGTCAAGGTTCGTCCCATAATGTATATGGCAGTCTGTAGAATGCGTCTGGAAGTTAAGCCAAGCAAGAAGTAAGCGACGACGAACTAAGCATTTATATAGATACATATGTAGGTTGTGAGTCAAGATAGGTGAGTCAAGATAGGTGATATGACGAGCTAGGGCAAGTCTCCTAACGCTCTTTTTGGCAGGTCCATCCGGGTAAGATTCCCCCGCAAGGCTAAAGGGTATATTCGATGACACATGCACATATCCATCGAAGCAAGCATCAAATGACAGGGGGAGTGGAAAAAGACCCGGTCTTCGATGCGAAACGCACCCGAGGTGATTGGCCCACACCGCCGACTGCACACGGGTGAATCTGGCGATAACAACTCCAACAGTTTAACTCTTATCACTTATTTTTTTGGGACCTTGAAGTATGGCGGCATGCAGGTCTATTGTTCGCCAATGCGCTATCCATCTGCGTTCGAGGCCTTTGAGTAATTCATTGCGCCAATTGCCTAGATGCAACCCTCTCATTCGCAGTTACGCTACCTCCGTGGCCGCCGCGGAACTCAAATTCGGCCAGCCATTGCATGAGACACACCCTCATATTCTTAGCCCGGGCGAACGTGGGTCATTATTTGTGTTTTTGATTTGTTGTTTATTTACCTGATCGTCCTTTGTCCAGTTACGCCAGGAATCACTGCCCTTGAATATGCGCAACGTCGATCGAAACTCGCCAACAAGCTACCTAAAGGCGCAATTGCAGTGCTGGCCGCCTCGGAGGTCAAGTACCGTGCGCAAGGCATCTTCAATGAGTACCGCCAGGATTCAAATTTCTTTTACCTAACCGGTAAGTTTGCTTGGCGGACTGGTGATGCTGGGGAGGATGCGTGCTAAACGTTTGCGCGCCGGATAGGATTCAACGAACCGAATGCGCTGGCAATCATCGGGAACGACGGCTCTGGCGACAACCATATCTTCCATTTATATGTGCGGGAAAAGGACCCTAGGGCAGAACTCTGGGACGGGGCGCGCTCCGGCACCCGGGCTGCTCTGGATGTCTTCAATGCGGATGAGGTGCGAGATATCGGCGGAAGGATCTGACGAATTATCGAGCTGACGCCGAGAACAGACAGGAAACATCGAACGCATTGGAGATATCTTGCCGAGTATCGTTCAGGGAGCGACGGAGGTTTACTCGGACATCCCCACATTTGATGGTTCAAGATCATCTTTGAATCGGTATCTGTATGGACCGACAGTCGCGTCGGAAAAGCTGAAGAAGGTCATCGATAACCGCAGGGTCAAGCCCTTGAAGCATCTGCTCAATGAAATGAGAGTGTTCAAGAGTGAGAATGAGGTTGTACAGATGCGCCGCCTGGGACAAGCTTCAGGGAGAGCTTTCACCGAAGCTATGCGACAGGACTTCACCCGGGAGAAAGATCTCTATTCTTTCCTGGAGTATCAGTTCAAGGTGAATGGCTGTGATACCAACGCATTTGTCCCCGTTGTCGCGGGTGGCCAGGTATATTTCCCAACTTCTTTGAGCTGAATTCAATACTGACGGACCTAGAACGCCTTGGCCATTCATTACACTCGAAATGACGATGTATTGAAGTTCGTTTGCCCTTTCTAAACTATTGTGAGACTCTGCTTACACTTTATTTCAGGGATGGTGATTTGGTTCTCGTTGATGGTGGTGGTGTAAGTTCATTTCTCTGAACTTAGCATTTACGGTTCTAGGATGCTGACCAAACTGCAGGAATGGGGAAGCTATATTTCCGATATTACTAGAACATGGCCTGTCAATGGCAAGTTCTCTGATCCCCAGCGGGATCTGTACAATGCTGTGCTCAACGTACACCGGCGTTGTCTGGCTTTGTGCCGCGAGACCTCCAATCTTTCTTTGGACAAACTCCATGGCATCGCCGAGACTGGATTGAAAGACGAGCTTAAGTCACTTGGCTTTGATCTTTCCGGCAATGTATGTATCAAAACTCCTTTTACGTGGGGCATGCTGACTCCGACTAGGCACTGAACGTTCTCTTCCCACACCATCTCGGCCATTATGTCGGCCTCGATGTTCATGACTGCCCTGGGTATTCCAGAGGCTATGACCTGAAAGCAGGTCAATGTATAACAATTGAACCGTATGTCGCCAGCCTCTTTCCCCGCAGATCTGAAACAAACTAATGCATGTTAGGGGTATTTACGTTCCTAACGATGAGCGATGGCCCGCGCACTTCCGTGGGATCGGAATTCGTATCGAGGATAGTGTTTGCATCGGAGAGGAACACCCGATTGTGTTAACCCCCGAGGCTGTCAAGGAGGTAAGTTCAAGACTGTAGTATTGCCCGTATTTGTTCGTCACTAACTTGTACTAGGTTGAGGATATTGAGGCATTGCGTAGTTAGATGTGATGTATATGGTAGCCATCAGATTCCTCCAATTCCCATGTACAATACACTAGCATAAGGGTTCAAAAGATCATATTTGAGCCCCTTTAATTTCTTTTATTTTGTTCCTTCCAAACCATAAGATACATGTCTGAATTATCCTTGCCTCATTAGGTACTTTGTGGTGGCTGGTCTGTTTGTTTGGGGGCTGTTTGGAAGGCTGGTCTCGGGGTGGTTGGAGATCTATTGTTTTTAGTTTAAGAAGAGAAGCATTGGACAAAATAGCCGCAGAGAATGAGATCGAGAATGAAGTAATAAAGAAAAGAAAAAAAATAATATAGTCGCGGTCAAAGAATGCAATGTTGATGTTCATGCTTCGCGCTCTGCCGTTGGTTGTCAGGCCTCCGCCCAAAACAAACTGAGCTCCACACCACACGACTTGCTTTGCTCTTCTTTCTTTCCTTTAGGTCTTCCACCTCGACTTTCTCTTCCCATCCCACCTTCGAGCACTTTGATCTTTTCTTCTCTCCTTTGGCTACTTGCTATTGTTTCTTGGGATACAATGTCAATTCTCTGATCTCCTTCTAACCCTGAAAAGACGTGTTAGTACGCGTGCTCTTCACCGAGTACCCCTCTTTGATATTTGACTATCTGTCACTCTACAACATCTGCACGCGTTCTCGGCCCTGGGAACTTGTTTTCAAATGGCCACTGTCTTCGTACCTCCCTCGCCACGAACCTCCCTGACCATGGCTACTCGCCGTCCACTCGCAAACGTCCCGAATGCAACAAATTCTCCACGCAGGGCAGAGCTAGTGCTTAAACGAGCTCGCCCTACTCGAGTGGAGATCCCGTACGGACAACCACCGCCGAAGAGACAAGCGATGGAAAATATGGAATACGAACCTCGCTCTACCACCTGCCAGACCACGAACACGGACTCGAAACTCTTCGCGCGGCGATCGAACAACGGCAACCCTAGTGCATTTGAGAAGAAGCTTGTCGCAGCCAGGGAGAAGGAACGTCAACCGCCAGTGAAGCATGTTAGACTTGAGAAGGCTCCGGCAGATACTATGGACTCCATTCGACAATGGCAGCGGCACTATAGGAAGGCGTTCCCACAGTTTGTGTTTTACTTCGATAGCATCCCCGAGGATGTTAGACGGCGGTTCAATCGTCAGGTCATTGCTCTCGGAGCTGTAAGTCATTGCCCCACAGAACATCCAGCTGGTCTTAGTTGCACCTCGCGTTTCCTTTCTTCGGTGATTGAACACGTTCCATTGGCATTTTCTCTAACACACTGTGATACAGCGTGAGGAGAAGTTTTTCTCGCGTGTAGTGACGCACGTTGTCACTTCGCGTGCTATCCCCCCAGAATCAGCCACCCCAACAGAACCGGAGTCAACTACAGACGCCAGCAATGGCGATAGCAACGTCCAAACCGTCAACCCTTCTCTTCTGGAGAGAAATGGCGAGACTCACCTGCATGCATCATTGAAAACCGAGACGCGT